ACCCTCGGAATTTACGTATCTAGAATGCGCTCTTGTAATCTGTAATGGGATGTAAACGTATGCGTTGCGTAAATATTTGTATACGTTGATTTACTGGTTGCCCATGCGAGTTGGCCGCAAATATTTCGCACGTGTTACATGCCGTCAAGGAATTTTGCGCCCCATTGAATTTTAGATTCGCAAAATTTTGTTAGAATCGGATAAAATTGCAAAAGAAAATTATTCACTATTTATAATGAAAAAGACCTCTTTTTTATAATCTGTCCTTTACTATAAAATATTTCTAATAACCTTGTTATTAATTTTAGATGCGGGGTACCTATATTTATCAATTTTTATGTGTTTTTAATTGTATTGTTATTTCCATTTGAGATTATTTTGCGCGTGTGTATCAGTTCCTTCTTGTACAATTTAATTCTAATAATGGTACAACAAATCATTCCTCTTGTTTTCGGTAAAAGGAAAGTTTGTAATACCCAATGTAAAATCCAACTTTTTCATTACATCAGTTTTTTATGGTTTGGTGCGATCCCGGAATTATGCACGAGAAGTAATAACTACCAGACTTTTGTTTTAACTAACGTCATTTCGGTTAACCATTCTGGTATTCAGAACAGGCACTTCTGACTTTTTTTAACACTAGACATTTCAAAGATTAAGCCTATAGAAAATATAGAAAAAAGATTCTTCGTCCAAATTGAACCGAACGTAACTTGACTATTCGCTGACATAATTTTGGGTAATACACGCTGTAATCGTCCGCCTTCCTCCCATATCCGTTTATGCGTAATCTCATGCGGTTGGAGAGCAGAGTAAAGACGCATGCAGAGCACCGAGCCGACATCGAGCGGTGGTGACGGGCGGCCAATATTGTCAAGGCAAAGAGGGCAAACAGCGTTCGAGTGTTTGCTCGTGGAAACCGTTAACGCTCTCGAAGTGGGGTTTTAACCATGCTCGATCGACCGACGAATGCACGCGTAATTTATGCGGCGTGACGAACAGGCCGTTCGGCACAGTCAGCCGGAATAAATTCCCCGTATAAAGTTTGAAAAACTGCGTCGCGCGCACACGATATTGCGAAAGACTTGTGTGAAGGATGCTCGCTACGAGCGGATCACACGTGGCATTTGATTTTTTTTTTTTTATTTTTGCGAACTCTTTTGTGCGAGAAAAAAATTATTTGACATCACGCGATACGTTGCGCGTAAATCTGCCGAAATAAATTTGCATTTTAAATTTTTGGAGATAGAAATTTATGAAAAATATTCGCGCAATAAAATTGCCAATGTACGATAAGTAGACGCTCGCGACTAAAAAAATTGAAGTTTTAATATTTTATCGAATAAATTTCGTGTAATTGTTCTATACAAAATTCATCTTGTTATTTTTAATCAACTTTATTATTTATTATTTTAAAATCTTTATTAAAATTACCTTTCAAAATTTTACCTTTTCATGAAAATTAAATGAAAATTTAATTGTTTGTTGCGACACAAAGTATAAAATTCTCCTTTAAAATTTTCGATATAATTAAATTGAAAATAAGATCATACTTGTCCACTCATAACAGTCCGTTTTTTGAGAAGTTCAATTTTTAATAGCATACGTCTCCACAAGTACGGGTAACGATTTGGTCAATATTTTTTAATTCCTATCTTACGGTTTTGGATTCTCATCGTATAATATAATGTTTTACATTGTTCTTTTTTACATAGTTCTTTTTACATTTACAGCTTACATTACTTTACTTTTTTATATTTATATATTTACAGTTACAATTATTCATACATTTACTGTCTCTCTCTCTTTCTCTCTCTCACACTCTCTCTCTCTTTCTCTGTATCTTTTATATTATATAGTATCCTTTATTTTTTAAGTATTTTACTAATTATCTTATATTTATATGTGTAAATTTGAAACAATTTGGCCAATGATTAGCTTTTTCTGATGACGATCGGTAGTTTATCGAAACTTGTACCTCGAGGATGTTGCTCTAGTACGTTAGGTTCATTGTTAAGTGGTACATCTAACCGGTGTAACGATGCACATGTACGTACCTAATGAGATTAGGAGCGCATTCGGGCTCGCTGGCTTTCAAGACTGTGCTTTGACCGACTTGCTCGAGTGCTTGCAGTATTGGCTTTTCGTGTATGCGAGGTACGGTGCGTAACGTGCCGTGGACACCCGCAGGCTCGGCAGCTTGTCGATTTTATGGATATAGCTTGTACTTCTTGCGAGAGTTCATAGGCGCGTAATACAGCGGACTTCTGGAAAGCATACAAACTAGAACGCTTGAACGAAGTTTGACGTTCTGATAGAATAGGATCAACACGGCCAACCTGCATGAAAAGAGTTAAAGTAGGTTGCTCTTTATTAAAAAACCCCGTAAAATGTTTGAAAATTAAAAGAAAACAGCGAGAGAAGTGCATGTGCGGAGGACGTATGTTTGAGGCGCCTTGAGGCACGTTGCATTCGAAATTGTTTCATTTTTTAGTTTATTATTTTAATACGAAACATAAATAATAAATTGATAAATGATATACTTTTTTCTTCGCAAGATATTATATTTAAAATGAAATTTGAATTTAATTTTACTATTTTCACATGCCATTTTGTAAATTATATTATGCTGCAATATTATTAAATGATAATACTCTGTTAAAGTTCATATTGTTAAAAGAGGGATATAATTTTTTTTCAAATGTTTCAGTCTGTAAGTGATCCATCTATTTATGATTGAGATGGCTTCAGAAAGCTGACAAGTGTAATTTATTTTGTTCGAATATTTCGTTAAAGGGAAATTGTTCATCCAAGGAATTCGTTAAACACGTGAAACATGCAATATGCCGTGTAATTCGAATACCTTTAATCTTTAAGGGTAGATCAAGTGCTCCTTTATAGTAAGAAATGTTTGTTACTAAAGTAAATACCCGAGATCTACAAGGAGAAACTTCCTCTTGCACTTGTACGAGCTCCTAGAAATACTCCATGTAGATGACGATATATGCACGTGAAAATTGCCATACTTGCGCAACTCACTCAAAGGACAATCACTCGCGAGAACGATCTTATCGAAATTTAAAATGTAGTCGACTTTGTTTCATTAAATTGCAGGGTATAATCTGTTCTTAAATATTAAACGTGTCTTATACAAGCCAGGTTTAATCGATTCTGCATTATTTACTACTTCTGTATTTTATTTATTACTTCTTTTATAACTATCTCTTATCTTGATATGAAATTAATAACATTAATGTAATAGCATTATTACATTAAATAATAATATTGATCGGATCTGAGTTAGTATAGAAATATTAGTAATGCATAAACGAGATAATTATTATTTTACTTTATTAATTTTCAAAATTTCTGTTTGTATTAATATTTTTACGTGACATTTATTATAATACTCGCAGGGAATTTTATTAATATGAATTATATTTATATATAACAGTATATTATATAAAATAAGCAATGTTGTTCAAAATTAATGTCATGTATATAATATGTCGTGTACGTAAATGTAAACTTATATAAAATAGTTAATAAAAAATGTGAGTTATATAATAAAATGATTTTATGATACACATTATAGAAATAACCGTTTCTTCACCGATAGCATGCACTCGTTGTATCAGAATTATGAATGTGTAATTTTAGGATATATATAAACGCAAAGGTGTCAAACGTATACGAGATACGAAAAGAAAACGTGCCGTGAAGCTACAGTATCGTATAGCTGAAAATTAAATCGGGCGGTAAAGGCAGAGGTTGTCGTTAAACGGCCTTCCCTCTGTCTTTTCTTTTAATCGGATACTTTATAGTGCAATTAATTGCGCGAAATTGGACCTCTATGTTGCAGATTTCATTGCGCGCAGTTTTATTAGCGCCGCTGATTGCTCCGGTAATCCTAGAACGACCGGAAACGGAGCTTTCATTACACCCTTCGGCGCGAGGCGCGAGCAATCGATATTGCCCCACTTAAATTATTTTACGTGCCGAATGTGACTTGTTGCGCGAGGTCAGAGTTGCATGTGCATATGCGTTCGATATGTCAGAAGCGTGAAAATTATAGGTGTTTCTTGTAAAGTGATGTCTGATGGCAAAATAGCGATTAGGAAGGTCAAATTTTCAGTTGCAGTTTGATACAAATCTTAAGTCTTCTCCTTTTTCACCCATTGAATTAAACTCGAACAATTTTATTTAATTCTAATAGTTTTTAGAAAGAAATACAAAAAAAAAGAAGATAAATGGAATTAGATTAATTTTTATTATTTATTATTAAGGTAAACAGAACAATTATTTTTGTAGCGATGAGTAATAGATTGATATGTTGGACAATTACGACATTTACAACCATTATTGTAGCAAATTTGTAAAGAAAATTGCAATATTAACGTTTTAAATTGATTTTAGTCGTGCTTATCTCCTTGACGAAACCATAAATTACTTCATGAAATTGCTTCATAAAACTTTGTTCGTTTTTCGCAGGTGGATAGTGTTCAGCGTCTTTTTACGTAGTATAAAACTGCAAGCTATTCTCCGTGGTTGAAAATGTGCGTATTAATAAATTATGAGAATCAAATTGCTTTTTTTTTTCTCAGAGGTACGATATAGATGATGTTAATACAAACTTCATTAGTTTAATGATATTTCATTATAAATTCTCATTTTGTAGAAACAAAGAAAAGTGCATTGAATCAATAGCAATTTAAACTGTACTTTTATTGCTATTTGCGACCGGAAGTGGTACTGCTTGCGTTCACGCGATTGACTGCTTGCGACTAATCATTTGACGCAAAAAGAAAATTTTTAAATTAGTCTCTGATCTTTTAAATTAAATCATGTTTAATTGCTTTCTTGATGAATTTATTTTGGCCAGCTTACTTGTGTTAGTGGAAATATTGCAAATTCGCTGAACACAGATTAACGTTTTAAGATTGATGAAGGGTGAAAATTATACAATAAAAATTCCTAATCCAATTATTTGTTAACCTGCACTTTTATTTTTTTTTCACATTTTGGCGTGTACGTATCGCAAGCAGAAGCGTAAAATTCAATATGCCACGCACATATCTACATATTCGCCGAATATTTATTGACTTTTTAACGATGGAGGCCGCTATAAATTCTATCTCCTCGATCGCGTTTGACACTGGTCCAAGCTGGTCGTACATAATTTTCTTCTATCTTGTCTCCGGCACACACGCAACCGGGATTTTCAACCGCTTCAGTTGCCACTTATGACGGAGTGCTTCTGGAAGCGGTGTTTCCGGAAGTCCGCTATCGTCCGAATAACGGTCGTTGCTTAACTCGTCCAAATCGCGTTGGCTTAACACGTGAACCTACGTGAGAACAACCTGATTATCGCTTGATTTATTACATGTCTGATAAAAACTACGTTCCACATATGTATGTATATACACTTCATATTAGCCTTTAATTCCTAAGCGTTTATTGAAATTTGACGTGTATAATCTGATGATTTACGTATCAAATGAAATTTTTTGGAATATCATAAATAGGTTTTTATTTAGAATTTTATTGCGCAAGTATTCAGCCAATACTGCGCAATACGTTGTAATTTTAAGATTTATCTCTGAGAAATAATTAATGATACGGAGGACAGGTTGCTATAAGTTGTTAAATGTACATATTGATGTAATTTACTGCTCTACAAGTTTCTCGGATGAATAATCACGTAAATTAATACTATTAATTAGAATTGGCCGGCAGGTGAATTCTTATTATAAACGAATATAACAAGATGTCAACTACAGGTTAATTAATCTTCGATATTAACGGTTTGCATTCCTTGTGAATAATACATTTACGAACGCGTAACGTATTACTGCATGCGTACGAGTAATTCTCTAACCACGCTGTTAAATGTTGTTACACATCCTTGTTTAACATTCTCCCCTATCTCTGATGGATAAAAATAGACGGTGCAGAAAATAATAAGTGTTGTGTATTTTTATGTTTTTTTCTGCGTTGGAAACTACATTCTCCATGTTTTTTTTTTAATAAAAACCGACAGAACATATCCTGTTGTGTTTTTTTTCCATTTTAATCTTAATGTATATTTTTTTCAAACTAAGAGTTATGTATAGTTAGTACATTAGCAAGCATAGTTTTTTGCAAAGAAATGTCAATGCGTGGTAACGTAACAATTAAAGACACGTTATACAATGACATAACATTATTAAAAAGCAACAGAGCGACAGCAGAGCAATGCCGGTATTTTATACTGCCATTCTGGCGAAACGGAGATAGGAGTCAGACGTATAGCTATAGTATATTCAACACAACATTACATAATCAAAGCGTATCAAATCGAACGCGCAAAGCGTAATTAAACGTACGTCTATTGCATAACTGAGGCGTGCAGATTTGTTCGATATCGCGGCGCGGCGCGCGACTTATTAACAGTTACTACCGCGGTGGACGGCGATGTTTATCCGGATGACGATGGGACGCCCGGTGATCAATAAGCTGCGAGTTAGCGCGGTCGGCGCTAATTAAAGTTGTGTATACTTGCACAATACTCGACAACCACTTGGGCGCACCTCTAATAGCGGGCGGCGAGTGATCCGCTACTTCGCGCTACGGATTATCGATTGTCACGCAATCTTACCGTGTAGTACAGCAGTCGGCAGGAATTGAACTTGCCGCTCAGGCAGGCTTTCGGCTTGCAGCTCGACGCGGTCAGATATCTCGGATAATGCCCCTCGTCCAGGTCCCTTATTTCGTACTGCGTTTCGCAGGTGCACGGCAGAGACTGCGAACAAACGTGTCTTCGTGTCAAGCACTAATCGAGGCACTAATTAATAGCGCGGAAATTACACGTTGAAAAGTCGAGTTGTACTAGCTTGTTGTCGAGTTAAATTATATTTTTCATCGTGAGACTGTAAACAGCGTCTTTTTTACGTCGCACGTGCGTAAACACTGGGACGTTACAGGGAAAAAAAATCCAGATAACAGAGTCCTTCGTGATGAAATTAATTAATTAAATACATGAAGCGATGCTACACACAATATTTACCGTGCATTGCCGGATAGCTTTTTGTTACGAGTTAATTTTCGACTTTCCAACGAGATAAATTTCCATACGACACGCAATATATGTATACATCTGTCGAGTATTGTACTTCTCCGTGGTTGACAGTTGTTTCATCACTGCGCAAAGTGATTTACGGAGCTGAAGCGAAATAATTGAATAACGTGGCAAAAAAGGAACAACGCTCTTTTTGAAATTTGGATTGCCACGCGTTTAATCGCTCGTTATCCCGTTACCGCAAAACGTAATTGCAATTTTCCATTTTAGCATAAAAAATCATTATTCGCTGTCGCAGTTGTCATGTCTGAATAAATCTGGGTGACCTTTGGCATTATAATATCGGCGACGCGCGTGCAGAAACCTTCGCGTTTCAACATAATAATTTAGAAAATAATTACGAAAATAATTACCGCGCGCGTTTAATAAGCTTTACACACGAAAGCGCCCGATACCAGGAGGGATCGAATACATTTACACCCGGGGTAGCTTTTTCCACGAGGAAAAAGGTATCTTTAAGTACGTCACTGTTATCCTCTCCATGAATTATTTAAACAAAGAAACCACTTCGGTTGACAGTCAAGCGTCAAGTGCAGGCGAAGCACTCAACTTCGTTGTGTACACGATGAATTCGTAATTTAAACTTGGCTGAAACGCGCGACAGCGTCATGTAACGAAGACACTTGTTCGCAGAAAAAGTTTACGGAAGGAAAATTCTTAGGAAATATGCAAACGCACTCTCGTTACGAGACGCGGTTGCAGACCGACGTCCTCGGCGCCGGTGACACGCTTGACCTCGCCAAGGCCCTCGGGACGGAAGTTACGCTTGTCCTCGTAGAGGAACGCGTTCCGGTTGCCCTCGGACACATCCTCGCGGTCCTCCAGCAAGAACTCCGGCGCGATAATCTGCTCCTTCCACCGGCCGATCGACAAGACTTCCCCCGTGCCCTCCGCCGACAAACCGTGGACCATTACCTGATTTCGTAAGTCATTTAAACGTGTAATTGAAGTAATCAATACGTGAGATCCGTTTATATTGTCGCGTATATAGAATGGAATTCTTCTATCGAAATTTTATAGGTATTAATTTCAATGACAACAGCCACGGATCATTTCTCTTCTATATATAGGAATAATTTTAATTTTACTGACAGAATTTTTGCAAAATTAAACTCGATTTTTTTTTAATTGAAATATAAAAGAAATATTTGAATTATGAATTATCAAAATGACACAATAAGAAAATTTGGCTGGGTTTATTTAAAAGAAAATATAAGCATTTTCATGATGTGAATTACCTTAGCTTGATTGTTAAGATATAATGTCAAATATTAAATACCTGCAATACATAATGACTACCATCAAAATTTTTCTCAGTGAAATAAAAACGACCAAAGTTGACTAAATTCATCAAAATCTGTCGTAAAAAATAAGGACCGCCAATTTTGTGATATTTCCAAGATGAATTTTTCATCTAATTTTTCCGCCTAACGCTTCACGCGGCGCTTTAAATTAACGCTAAGTAATACATTAAGTATTGTGTTTACACAAACGCAAGTACAGTACATATAATAAATTGCAGGAGGGTAGCAACACAGTCGTATCTGATGCTTACGCAAAGAACAAGGAACTTCATCCTTCCCGGGACACGTCTCGTACAAGCCATCGCCCTACACTGAGGACTTGTCTCCAACATCCGTTCCTTATATACGAAATTATGAAAATAATAGCGGCCCTATATTCCGCGGCGACAGGTAAGATCCCATTACATCGTCGCTAAGATGCCATTAATGCCACTCGATATCCGTCCGAAGGGGGATGCGTGGATTTCAGGCAGTCTTTGTTCGGGCTCAGTACGCAGTATCTATGTCTTTTGTCTCTCCCGTGTCTATTCACCATCCATAAATAACTGTACTCTTTTCCTTCGGACGAGAGGTCTTCCCGAAACTTCGGCCCCTACCCCTTCGGAGACGGGGTCGCGGAATATAAGGGCGTCCACCAATTCCATTCGAAACATTTGCTCTAACGCCGCCGCCGGTGTAACGTTGCAACGCGCGGCTATAACGTCGACACCTATAAAACTCCAATTTCACGATACCTGTCCGCCGTTTACTACCGTGACGCAAAACAATGTGCAACGCTAAATTGACAAATGCGTTTGGGACACAGACAGCGCGGGATGGCTTTCGAAATAAAGCTTACCTACAGTTTTCAAGCGAGCCACATACGGTACGAACGCCCGCTCGCAAAGCTCGGAAATTTCACGTGTATCATCTCTGTTTTGATGTAGCACGTATGACGGTACGTGTAACGTGTATTAAACCATAATATGTATCATAAATGTTTATTAAAATTTACATTGTTACATTATTTTCGTAACATAATGATACACGGAGAGAATTTTTTGTTATATTTTATACCGTTAAATTCACTACAAACTTGAGACAACTTTGGCAACCAAGGAATTTTTGAAATATACAAAAGACATTTTACAAACAGCGTGATAAAAATTACCAAGCAGATTGGTAATTTTTGAAAAATTATTGCCCAGATATATTTTAGTAAAATTAATCAAACATATTTTATATTTTAATGTAATATAGATATTAATATTTTTTATTATGGTAGATATTAATCAGAATAGCTCGCATAAAATTCTTCGTAGTACCTACATGTTGTCCCACAACTACCATGATTTACAGGGTAAATTCTAAGAGAAAATTCTCTCTGTGAGAGAAACTGATACAAATTATGGCATACAAATTACATTGTTTAATGACTATTTTATATTGCTTGCAAGCGATTGACAGATTGCTTTAAAGTTTAAAAGATGGACCTTATTTTCTACTTTCAAGTATCCTTTTACAGATATTATCACAGAAGCGATCTTAATCATCCAAACTTCTTCTTTCGATTATCTATATTGATCGTAACAGTTTTGTCTTTATTCTCCAGCTTGTAATAGAGCAACATTAACAAAAACGATCTGTTATATTTATTCATTTAAATTATCTTCTCCTTTCCTTAAGTATACGTCTAAGAAGTTTTAACTGATGCAATTTTTCACGCCAGGAAGTCACGACGAAAACTTCCGCGAAAGATTTATGGCGTTCTGTTCTCAATTGTTATTGACGAGCGAAATCACGTTCGGATGAGCAATCGATGGAAAGTTATATTACAGGTGCATCGAAGGTATCGAAGATCGCACCTCAGCGTTTAACGAGCTCGTCATAAGTTTTAACGACGAGCTATTGGGATTCGCGCGAGGATCGTTCTCTCCCGGGCGACATTAGTACGAGTTAACCGAACGCCCGCGATACGCGAAAATGTCATTACTACCCCGCGGTAATATACACACACGTAGAGGGATAATGAAAACACACGGCCCACCCCTCATTACCGTGCCGCGCCGTGAGATTCGCGCGCGACGAAATTACGTAACGCGTTTCGGAGCGTGGTGCAGGCCGAATCGCGACGTGCGTCAGATTGCGTAACCCCGCGCAGGAATGCTTTCCAATGTTCTCCGTTAATGTTTCTCCGTTGCGCGCGATTGTATCAAATTGCAAAAGACCTGTGAAAGGATCTCTAATAGACAGCGTCGTCGCTAGTTGCAATAACAATAGCGCACGCGACAGACGAGAGTTACATATCGCCAGTGATTCAAGCTAATATATGAAATGATCGAGCCAAATTGATCACGTTAAGGCGATATTGAGAGACATTCTTTAGAGAATAATGTTACCTATGTTTGTGAATATCCAGAGCCACCACCGCAAAACGTAATATCTTGTTATCTTGTATATTCCACGAGTCATCCTCATTTCGCGTGATTAAAGATCATATTCGATATCAACTTACACTGTTAAATTCATAAGCCCGTATTCGGAACGCACTTTTACCGATAAATGCGCGCATTTATTTCTGAGATTCTATAAGATGTGTAACATGAACTGTAACATCTTATCGACAAATGTGTGTTCGGAATACGGGCCGTAGTGTCAAATTATACTCAATTTGAGTCAATTTTAACCATTCTTATAGGTCGCCACTGCTTCTACTCCGTATGTCGTTAATTTAACTTAAAAAAAATGTAATTTTAAACAATAAAGTAAGTGAAAATACGCAACTGTACATGATACACAATCAAATCAAGGGAAAAGTCGTTAAACGGTCAGGACTGGATCTTAGTTGCCTAATAATATTATGTGAGTGAATTTTACACACAATTCTTCGTTTCAGTAAACCACACGCCGTTACTTTCGGATATAACGCAGTCGTAACCAAAGCTAGACGGTACAATCACATAATTAAATTGATTGTCAATTTAATCATATACTATAACATGCACAAGGAAATTAGAAATAAATGATATGAGAAATACAGGATATATATATGTATATATAGGATAGGATACGTGGAATATAAAGGATATGTTGTTAAAAATAATACCCCAGCCAAAATTCAAATCTGGATCTCTCTGACGATTCTGTGACGGGCGTCTCAACTAATTCGATCACTGAGGCATGTAATTTGTACGCAAAATTCACTCAAACAATATTATTTAGGCAATCAAGATTCAGTCCTTGCCGTTTCAACGGCGTTTCCCACGATTGAATTTGAATGTTATTTGAACTAAATCAATGCAGTTAAAATAATACTGTTTTGCGTTAAAATCATCAACACCCGCACATGGTAGCTAAAAATAACAAAATGTTATTTATTTTAAAGTATTAGTTTAAATTTCATCCTTTAATATTTATAACAGTGTATATGTCATATTTTAATCCGTGCAGATATGTGTATTTAAGTAACTGAAAGCGATATAATTTATCTTAAAATTTGTTTATACCAAAAACCTAAAATAATTTGAAATTTGAATTAAATACTTCTAAGTAACAGAAGAGAAAACACGAGTTCTTATTCTTACTTTGTAATATGTCATTTTTGAGCCGGCACTCGACTTTTATACTTCAATTTCGTTTCGTATTTCTTCGTTTGCGTTTGCCGTTGCGTCATTTCCGCATTACTTACGCGCGACAAATATAAACGATAAACGGTGCATACAGACACGTGCGATTTTCAGGGCCAAGAATTATTTTCTGCACCAGATACGCGAGCGTGATCGATCGCGGACAGTCGCCTCCCCTTATCCCATGCAGTTCGTGGTTTTCGCATTTATGTGCGTGCGCGGGATCAGCCCGATTAAGTTAACCGTGGCGAATCATCACGAAAGTAAGTGTTACAATCTCTTTTCCAAAATTGTCATACGCGATAATGTCACTCTCTTTGACAAAAAAGTGGCAAGAAATCTTCTACTTTTAATGCACGATGCATGCACGGTTCTCAATCAAACGTTGTATATACGTAGAATGTTAGAATTATTTTAATTAATTATATGCATTTTTAATTTAATTACTGATAAAATCACAAAAGCCGCAGGATAAAAAGCGATGTAAAAAAATACATGTCATCTAAGATTGTTAATAAAGACTTTTGGCAAATTAAGCTTTAAAGATGAAAATCGGTTAGAAAATACTCGTTCTTCAATTTTAATCAACTTTTACTTTTTTATTCAAAGCGCAAACAGTATTTGAGATTTATCTATGATTAAAAATTTATACACGTTTCATAGATGTTTTAAAATTATTTATTTTTATACAGAAAAGAAGAAGAGAGCAAAGAATCCATGTTATCTCGTTGTATCATTATGTCATACATCAAGCAGAATTATGCGCTGCAAATAATATTAAAAACTTTTTTTATTATCAATTCAAAGAATTCCAGAGAATTTTGTTAGAGAATCCAGCTAATTTCTTGTCGAAGTTTTACAACATTCCGTGTCTGCGTGAAGCAATTAATTACAATTCAGAAGTTAAATGAACCGCTGGGCAGCAAGGACGATCCTCTCGGGACGTAAACTTGCAGTTGATTTCACGACAGGCGGTCTATTGAAAGAAATACTTTGAAATTCCGCTTGAGTGTTATTAAAAATCTTATCCTCTAGTCCTTGAAGCGGAGAGTACAGAGCGGCAGATCTCGGCTGTTTCGAACGCACCTGAGCGTCTCGCTTTTTAAGTGATATTACTTTAAGTGATATTAACCTGTATAGATATCTTGCGCTTATCTCTCGATATTAATCTCTTTTCTCTAATTCTCGCAATTCCATTTCAATGCAACGTCGGAGTTTGACGTTAATTGATGTGCTATCGAAAAATACTTACTCCTTTATTTGACAAAAATCGCTAATGGTCAGAAGACATGTCCTATTTGATGGATGAAACGTTTATTATCCATTTATCCCGTCTGGACCGTAAAAACCGTGTGGCATTAAGATTATCGGGACAGCGGATGAAAAATATACTCGTTCGTTCAAACTGACAAGTTCATTGAAGTATTATTATATCGTTGATGATAAAATAGCAAACTCGCTATTTTACCAAAATTACCGTCATTTAATCTTTGTATTCTTAGAAGCCAATAGGAGAGATATGACAAAAATTTACTAAATGTAATTGTTAGAGCGTTAAAAAAGCATTGTATAATTTATTTCACACACGGAAAGAACGGTTTTGCTTAAGTATCTAAAAATTTAGATGGATCTGAAAATAATTTTGTTGCACCATCAAAATAATTATGTAGAACACTCAAACTAATTGTTAAAATTTTTTACAGCATTATCATCATACTTTCAGCGACTATAATTATTTTGATGGTGCAACAAAATTATTTTCAGATCTAGCTAAATTTTTAGATACTTCAGTAAAACCGTTCTTTCCGTGCATAATCGAATTTAAATTGACGAGGAAAGTCTTGTCTCATCGTCTCTCAGCTATCGCGATTTCATCATCACGAACAAACGTAAAAATTGATCTTGGTGCATGCATCTCGCATAAATCTGAACTCTCATTTACTTATTTGTTTGATCGACGTTGTAGGTTCAGTTTTCGCTTTCGACGTATGCGTCGAATTTCGCATCGTGAAACGAATAAAATGTGTCTAATCGCTGATGAAGACCTGCGACGCGCCGCGTCTGCGTGATGTTTGCACCCCCTTCCTAAACAGGGGAGAGCGCAGCCCCTATATATTTCATGGGAGCACGAGACTCGGGGCACTCCACGCGTTTTTCACGACGTGTGCATCACGAGTCTGAAGGAATCGGCCGCTCAATTTTCCCCCTGAAGGACGAGTCCAGCATCCGTTGGTACCAGGCACAGTGTATCAGACGCCGTGACGCAATGGCGCTTTCCGGTTCATCGATCGTGATCGTTTTCATCGGCGTGGCCGCTTACGCGGCTGCCGGACCCGTTCAGGTAAACCACATCCTCAGATGTCACCTGCTTGTTTTACCATAAAGTAATTCTTTAATTGACTGTGAATGCATCAGCACTTAATATTATGTATGTGAAAGTTGTAAATGTACAGAAATCTGTGTGCATTTGGTTTTGTAATTGCTAAAGAGAAAGATTTTCGTTTCTTTAAGAATGATTTTATTAATTAACCTTCTTCGCTAAATATTCGAAAGAGATTTTTCTTCAGTTTCACTTAAGACCGATTGCACCAACGTCGTATAACATTTTCGCTTAACTCACCTTTAGCTTAAGCACTTTAGTTTAACTCACTCTTCGTCTCTTTCTTAAAAGTTAGAAAGTTAGAAAGAGATGAAGAGCTTTTACAAAAATTTAATACTGTGATTATTTGGCTAGTGATTAATTACTTATTTTGAGTTAATACTCTACTTTTTAGTTGCTACTAGTAACTAAAGCACTGTTTTTAATGTTTTGAATACTCAAAGTAAGTAATAATTACTAGCCAAATAATCACTTACAGTATAAAATTTTTTTGTAAGGGAGTTTTTTTTTTTTTGGTTTCTGCTCCTTTGGGAAGGAGCAAAGCGCCTTCAACCCTTTTTTTGTAAGGGAGTGAGTTAAACTAAGGTTAAATGTGTTATGTGACGTTGGTATAACCGGGCCTTAGGGTTAAAATCATTGTGTTATCGCATTCAAAATCTTCAATTTTTCTTTTTCCAAAGTTGTTACGTTCTTGATAGATATATGTATGTATTAATTTTTGCAGTATTTTTTGACAATAAACAGATGTCTGAGGCTTATCATGACACCCGTTAATTTAATCACTTTTCATGTAAAAACTATTACAACCTCGGTAGTTTGATATTAGAATTTTTGCTCAAAATTTTTACTCAAATTTTACTTCAAAATGGTCTTAAGAATCTGTCTCAAGAACTAACAGGTGTCACGATAAGTTTGAAATATCTTGTACTATTAACTATAGGATAGAAAAATTTTTTTGACTATTGTTGCACATGCCGGATTATTGATATATTATTCGTGTCTTTCTCTGTTACTAGCATTTCGTATTTCTACTCCACAATCAGTTATATTAAAAGAATAAAGTGCCGCAGTTGAAAATCTTAAATGTAATCGGTATTTTAGTTCCTTTTGTTATATATAAAAATATGACAAAAGAAATAAAGTTTTTTTTGTTATATGAAATTATAGATCATGTAAGAATAATATTTGTTTCAACGCACAAAATTCAAGTTTGAAATATTGGTCACATTTTGGGTGTAGGTACGTGTCGACGGATTTTCAAATCTGTGCAGCATTTTTCTATTTCGTGCGACAAAAATCCGATGAATGCATGCATGCATGTATAACAAAGGGATCGAGGGATAACATCAAAATACGAATTTTTGCTTTTCTCGCGAGCAACAATGTGCGATATTGCAAAGTGAAAAGCTAAATACAGAGATTGGTATAGTAACAACCTTCAGGTTAAATAATATTATTCCGTACAAGCCATTTTCGTGTAAATATCGCAAATAGAGCTTTTTTACTTGCCATTTAGCCAAATGTAAATAATTTGTTGAATGAAAAACATGTTAATAATTTGGAACATGATGAAAGTAAATCATCTATAATAAATAAACGTGTCCAATTTTTCCAATTATGCGACTAGAAATTTTTTACTGCGTCATGTTAAAGGTTAATTGCTAAGCTTGGTAATTAAATTGAAAATTGCGCAATGTTCGCCTGTATGCTGTAATTTTGCAGTAAGCGTGCGCGACAGGCGCGCATATTCGCCCTACCGATCATTATAATTCCAAATAACAAGGTGAACGAGCACTACGTCGGGCATGACAGACTGTTTATTTGTCAATTTCGACAATTCCCCATTATACGTTTAGAGATTGAATTTCAATCGGCTTTACACGCGCCATCGGTATGTAATTAATTTCGTCGAAACATGTCCATTACGTTAAAACGAACGTAATTGAGTGATAAAACACAGACTGCTCTCTACTTTAGTATGATATTAAGTCAGCTGCCAAATTTGTTATTTATTAGAACGCTAGCGCGCGTGTATCTTTAATATATACCTAACATGTATCAAATTTAATCTTCACATTTATTTAACAAGATAACTGAAATTAATCATGATAATCTGTCATTTGTGAATTGTGAAAAATACGATTCTCGCGCTGATAGTTATTCTCGCATGCGAGTCAAGCGGGAGAGCCATTCAGAATCGCGGAAAAGGAGCACCAATGAATTTGATTTAAGTTAACACGGCTTTTTAAAAAAATAAAATTAATGTAATTGTTTTTTAAGATTATAAATTTGTAATCAGTTTCCAACAACTTAATAAAGGTAAATCAATTTTGTATATTATTCAGCATTAAATCGTGATTACACACGGTTGACGTTATTTATTAAACTATTAAACTAATTATTAAACTATTAAATTAACTGATTATAGCTACGAAAGATTGAAATAATTTTCATAAAATATATAAACGCTATTTATTCTCAAGACATTTTTTCTCAGTGGTGCAATTTATAATAGTAAAGCTCGGTTAAGCACTAAATAGGAGCCCTCAATTTCCGGCGGAGAGTAGTGGCTGCGCAATCAAACTTGAAAACTGCCAAGAAAAGTCGGAACTTTTTGCGAAAAAGTCTTTTGTGGAGGAGCGCGACAAAAGGAACGTTTTACCTGTGGTGTAATTACGGCCTTCGCTTCGCAAATCTATTCGAGAATGATCTCACTTTATATTAATCCCCCTGTTAAGCTTCCAAGGACTTTCGTCAGTTGTTTGTCGTGCGGTTTACTCGATAATCCATCGTGAGAAGGGAGGAGAGAGCGCGCGCGATGCGGCTCGTTGCATTCGCAACTTGTTGCGTCGGGTCGTGCGACGTTCCTCCGGAGTGAGCGTCGCGCGGGGCCAAACAGTCTCCTTGCTCGCTATTCTCGTGTCTTGACCTTTCCGCTCTTATCGAGACATTATCTCGACATAGAGATTGCTCGATGGCTCTCGCTGCTCCATGGCTTTCCGCCGGATGAGCCGTGAAGTCGCGTTACGCCGGCGGTTACGCGACGTATCGGAGTGGACACCACTTTGCCATGTCACTTTGCACTTCCTTAGATTGAAGTGAAGATCGACCATAGTGGCGTCTTTCGATAAAGTGTCCTTGCTGGCCGGAGATTGTTAACCTTTAGGGGACGGGAAGCCTATTTTTAGGCCTCAAACTGTTTATACGCTAAAATATCAGATATAAGTGTTTTTTGGGTTATTGAGTTCCGGGAATCTAAAGACCGTATATCAAACTATGGATTGAGATTGAGATTGGATTGAAATTTGACCAATCAGAGCAAAGTTTACTAAACTTGAGATCAGTTTTCTTTATTCTGATTGATTAAATTTCAATCCAATCTCAATTCCAATCCGTAATCTGATACGGGCTTAAGGGAAACAAGTGAGAATGGTTAATTCCGAATATTGATGCGATTACTCTTATCTTCTTAGAACTCTTGTGAAATCTTTAGATAATATGTTCCCTTTACCTTTACTATTTTTCTATTCTACCTTTACTCGTAAATGAAAATTTTTTTCTCACAAAGTTCTTCTTATGCATTTGTTTGCATTTCTTATTGTTAGATCTGAATTTTAATTTTAATTTTTTTTTTAATTTACAATTATATAAATATTTTATGCAATTTTTCCATTTTTGTTAACGTACCAGACGGGAAGCTTATTTTTAGGCTGCACGAGGGTCGCTTATTTTTCGTAGTATGACACTTTAACACATATATGAAAGTTATAAATAAAAATCATAAAAAGTCATGAAAAAACCTGCTCGTCCTCTAAAGGTTAAATGTAATTGTTACATTTTTACATGTATTTTTACATTTTTTACACGCCGCACGATGAAATTAATAAAGATGTGTCGTAAAGAAAGAACGTGTAATAAACATTCAAAATTACCTTCTTGTTATACGTTTTTTCTATAAAAGAAAAGATTTGCTCTTTATACAAAGAAGCGTACGACGAAGAAAGAAGGAAAATCTAAAGTGATATAAATATTATACCTAAATAATTACACATTTCGTGTTGCATTGGTATATATATGTATTATTACCCCAGAGTTCCAAGTGAAATAGTAGTAAAATTGATTTTAATGCATAGTCCGTTCCTTCTGTCCTTCTCTCTCTGAGCGAAAGTAGCTTTTAACTTCGCGTGTTATTTTATTTGAAATCTTGTAATAAAAATCCCCTTCTTTATTTCCATGATATTCATCTTGGAACAGAGTGAGGGAGAGAAAGAGAGAGGGAGAGTTGGATCTAACCGGCGAGGATTCTTGCGGAATGAGAGAATAACGTACTTCTCATGATACGCTTTCTCCTACATATTTCACATTCGATGATACCATCGGCTGTCTGTTATGTAAAAACTTAAAGCATGTGAGTGCGGGGCATACACGCGAGGTTGTAATTTACAAGGACATTCGCGATAGCCGCGGCTTTCAGACGGCGAAGAGATGTTATAGAAGAGAGGGTATAGCTCGACGATAGCTGAACGGGTTAAACCTCGGACGACGTATATGCGGGAACGTACGAAAAGTTTTCCTATGCATACCAAATATGCATACCTGTGAGGCAGCTGCGTAATACACATCCCAGGATGACACAGTTGGAACACCGCGTTGTACAGAACAATGGTTTGCGTATATGCACGAGGATATCGGTGTCCTCTAATTCCCAGCGTTCATCGTGCATCTCATCCAACGATCTCGCGGAGCGCGCGTTACGCTTGATATTAAACTGACATATCGAAACGTTTATCTATCTCTCTAATTTCATCTGTCATGTTGAATGGGGATAAAAATGAGTTTTTGTTTTGAACTCTTATGACTAACGTTGAGCGTAGATCATACACGCGCAAGTTTTTATTTATTTTAGAAAAACTCATTGGTTTTAGGATGTATTATTAGTTTTTTCATTAAGAAAATAGGCAAGAAATAGGGAAATTAGACAAAAATATTAGACATAGATTTTATAATAATTATTATAATAGATAAATATTTTGATACTGGGACTTAGTAATTCTCTACTTTAATCCGCAGAATAACTGAAATTATATTATGTAAAAGAATTATATAATTCAATTATGACGGTGATCTTTATGTGATATTGAGAAATCAATTTTTTCGAAAATTAATTTTATTACTATTTGTCCTCTCTAAATCATATAATTTTTTTTGTCTGAAACATTTTTGCCTGTCTCAGTTTTCGAAATATTTTGGTATTTTGTTTTAGGTGTCTCATCTTGTATCTTACCTATATATAAATATAATATATGATGATATTACATCTTATATGAAATTTGCAATTGTAGTCTTAGAATGGATTTTTCATTTTTGTCAATGTTTCTCGTTCTATCTCACGTTTAAAAATTTTACTTTCGCAATTTTCGCAAATAACATAAACGCTATTTCGGAAAAACAATTACTTCCTCGTTGATTTGATCGCCAATTGTTTGTTTAAAAATCGATCGAAACTTCATTAACTTCGTCAACTTAACTATTAACCGTGACGCACTCGCCAGTTATTACAGCTCGCGTCGTTACAGTTAAGTAATGGCGCACTGATGAGAAACGCGATTTCATCAAGGCACGATCGAAGCTGTCGTCGACCGTCGACGTCGGCGGTGTTTGGTTTTAAGAGCGAGATTAAATTTGTAAAATTCTCCGTCCTTCGGCGTTTTGTAAATGTAGGTACGCAGAATTTCATTTCTCTTCTCTTTGCTTACTATCCCGGTATGTTACGGAAAATTGCTGCTGCTCCGAAAGGCCTCGAAGCGAAAAACCTTGCGTCGTAAAATTCGATTAAATCACTAAAACGCGTTATTTCACCGAAGAAGAGAGCAAAATATATGAAGTTGAGAGCAAAATATATAGCGCGTAGCTTCCGGTTTTGTCGAGTAACGCTTTTCGTCCCGGGATGGAAAAAGCGATTCGTCGAGTAAAATGCGAGATCTCCGTATTATGTCGGCCTTAACCCTTATAATTAGTCATGCAAGTCAGGTAAATGATATAATGACGAGCTGTAGTAACTGTAATATATCGATCTGTAGTTCGCGGATGGTGCTTTCAAGGTCGACCACGACCGCGGCGGCTCAAGGGGTTGTTTCTCACCAAGTCCTTACAAAGGACGGTAATTAATATTAAACGAAGCAATTATAAGCGGGAAGGTTATGACTCTTGTAGAAATAACAGTTAAGATCTTCACAAACCTACAGTTAAGTAACAATTTAACTGATAAATTAATTTTTTACGCGGTTTTAAAGAGAGGAGCTCTGACGAGTCCATCAGACATTATATTTATTAACGCAATTACAGTTTTTTTCCTACTATCTAGGAAGCGTGGTAGATTCGCGATAAAACGCAAAAGATAAACATTTTGCGTATTGCTCGTTACAAGAGCGGGAAAATAATGTGGAAGCCAAGCAGTTGGCATTCGTTGAATGGGACCGCGCGACCGTCATAATGCATTTTTCAATTCGTCCGAAGCTACGGAATGACTGTGCCGGGAATTTATAATGTGCGCCTGACGGGCGAAGGAGAAAAAACGTCGGGCGGTAAATTCGATCCGTAATGTAAGGTCGAGCACCGAGCCACCGTACGGCGAACGAAGTTTTAATTAGCATAATGCAGCCTCGCAACCTCCTCGTGGCAGGCGGGATAAGGACGACGAGCACGTGCCGTCGTCACGCCGAGAACGGGCTTAACATGTGGCTCTTATATGTACGTGATCTTAACATTTGCATTACACGTATTCGAAAGGTGATTTTTATATTTTCTTCCTTTTGCCTCAAGTCACATATTATACAATGCTCGTCCGATCGTACTGACGTTGCATAGATGAAGCCAAAATGAATAATTAAACTTCCTCTGGGAATAAATAGTCTATTGTGTTAGATTCAGATCTGTATGTCAAGCTTGTTCTGTTTAAAGATAAAACGCAAACTCACAACGTTCAAACAGAACATAGAACTAAGTCACGCGATGCGTTCTGCAAATTTAATTAGAAAGACAAATAAATAAAAGTCTTTTACGCTTATCCTAAAGAACAGTTCATGCATTTTTATTAAAATTATGATTAAGAAAACTGGAGGTTTTGTGTTTTGGGGTAATTTAATTAATAATAATTAAATATTAAGGACAACCATTGAACCAAAAATTTAATTATAGATTATAGAAAAATATAAGATAAACTTATGTAATTTGTATAATTATTAAATATCACTTATAATTGTTACATATATTAATTATTAATATTAAATGTAATAAATAAATTTTATTTTACTGCTTGATTTAATAATTTTGAAAATTTTCAATCGATATCAGATTTCTATTTTATGTGATGCTTTCATTTAATATAATGAAATTTCTATTTAACTTTTTTAAAAATGTCAACGATAAAGTTGATATGTCGTGACTCTACCATCACTCGTTAATATTTTATAAACGCTGACGCAAATGATATGAAATACAGTAATTAGCAAATGACATAGTCGTTAATAATGAAAACAAGCCTGTGGCTGCAACTTTGTTAGAATGACAATAGGTAAGCTGTGTATAAAAAGCCTGTGGCTACAATTAAAAAGTTTCTTTTGTTTACAGGCTGGACCGAACACGGTACAACAGAATGAATATGGGGTATTGCCGGATTCCTTTACAAGATACTGGGAAGATCGAAGTAAGTATTCGCCAAAAAAAAGATAACTTATTTATGCTTATTATATTAAAAATTATATCGAATTATATTGAAAAACGAGAAACTGTCTAAGAAAAAAAAAAACGACAGCAAATATCAATTTTCAATATGTAAACGCTAATTATGATAACTTAACTCAATAAATTATTACAAACAAGTTTGAAACAAGATATATTACAGAATATGTATATTATCATATATAATCATATATACAATTATTACATTTATGTATGATTATTACAGGTACTTTTTTCTCATTTTCTTAAACTTATAAAACTTTTTAATAAAAAGAACGTAAAGATTATCTTTTGCATTATTTTTTATTCTTCCTTTTATTATTTTTCTTGTACAATCAAAGATTATACAAGAGAAAAATGTCATATGTAAGAGAAAGAAATATATTTAAACATAATTTTATATATTTGAAAAATGTTTTCCAGAAATTTCTTTGATCCTTTTCTCATCTGTTTTATATATATTTTTTTAACAAAGATGATAAAGACAGATGGTATTTATTAATAAAATTGATTATATAGAATTAAAATAAGAATGAAGATATCTGTAAACATTTGCGTTTTTAATGCATTGTTAACTAATACCTAACTTATACTGTAGTAGCGGCAAGCAGAAATGATGTGAATAAAGACTCAAATAGATTATGTTTAATTGCGTTTTATCACACGACGAAGATCAGTAGACGCAAGTAAAAAAAAAAACGAACACTTATTCTAGTGTGCAGCACACACCAGATCATTTTAGTTTATAGATCATTTGTCGCTGGGAATTTTTTGCAATTACGCGACGAATTAAACAATTCGCCACTTTAACTTCTATCTTAAACTTATACTAACGCGTTTGCATCTAATTATAGTAGATCGCGTATTGTCGCAGATAAGAAAACGATTCATGATCGATACCGCCTCGAGGCTACTATGCATATACCATAATCCTTTGCCCTTTGATGTATCACTTCTATGCTGTTCCGATCTATCATCGGAATTGCATGTCAAGAGGTTGGATATACGAATACACTCTTGCAGTATTTTTATTATACACTTCAATTAATTACTTGTAGGAGTGTCAATCGATTATATTAACGTGTCTGAAGTTGTTTGATATCGCGAAATTAAAATTAACTAAAATTAATTGTGCGGATTGTGCCATTAAGTAATGTCAAGAGAAGATATTAAGTACATACGTTGTTGCAAAAAGAAAATAAATTGAAAGAGATAAAACTTCTCAAAAGTGAAGAAGAAGTTTCGCCATGCAGGATATTTTATTTTGTTACAGCTAAAATACTATCTGGATATCTCTTGACCATTGCGTGTTTTTAAACCATGTGCAACATTTTCCAAGAAAAAGAAGAAAAATATCTTTCTCCATTTACGAGAAGGTTAAAAAATAGGACAATATCATAAAGTTAAAGTATATAAACCATATTTTTCTAAAATTTTTAAAATTAACAATAGTTAATTTGACAACCGCAATTGGGAAAAGAATTAGTATTTTTCACGATTTAAGAATTAAAATTTTCTTTCTTATGAGTAATGTTATTTATTAACAAAATAAAAATTAGATATTATTTCATAGTCGATAAAACACTTGGTCATAAAATACAACCGTTTTGCAAAACTAAGCTATTAAAATTAAATAAGAGAATGGAACGTGTATAGAACAGTTCTGAATGCACATATACGCAAGAAATATTATTTTGATAGATAAAAAGCTTATAGAAGCTTGGTTTACGACGCTTATTATGGTGCATTCTTTTGACTGCGTTTTACGGCTCGATTAAGGCATTACGATCGGCGATTCAAAGGCCATAAACTCGTATAGAACGCCCACACTTATCTGGAAAATGTAACAGTTAATTCGGCCGTTTGCAACAATTTGATTAGCCGTCAACTTCAATCAACTTCAAAAATGTATAAACAAGAAACACGGCCCGCGCTGAATTTTAATAGAATAATTACGTGCAAAATCCACATCATTAATTTCGATCTGAACACTGGCAAACAAATAGAAATTTTTTTAAATAGAAAAAACGGTTTATATACATATATACAAGCTTTTTTAAAAAATTTTTACTTTAGAGGTGGGGAATTAAATATGTAGAACATCGATTTGTACAGATTGCTTTTTAAGAGTTTGATTTTAATTATAATTTTTCAGGATTATCGCGTTGTGACATTTTATATATAATGTTCTAATATATATATTCTAATATTATCCGATTGGAGGCACGTGTGAATCTAAATAATAAATTGACGTGAACAATAGAGTTGCGTTTTTTAACGGACAATATCTAGAAATGTTATTAGTATTTTGTATACGTATAATCGAGTTCGACGGAGCAATAAAACATTTATACGGTACGGCTACAAACTTAATAATTCGCACAAACACGCATCATTTATTCACATTGTTATTTCGACCCTTTCAGCTGCTATCTTTCTTGTACTTGCGTACACGCGTTTATCATTCATTGTGTATTTCCATATTAAATTGTGCCGTTAATCATTTATTTGGAGCGCGCGTGTGTCCGGCGATTCCAGAATAATCGTGGTGCCACAAATAAAAAGTTCGCGTAGTTGGTCATAAACAATACACCTGGGAAATTTGCGCTCTGCTCTCGCCCTCGTAATTTTCGCGCGAAGAAAACGAGTGCGGAAAATTTTCTTGGAAAATTTTCGCGCGAAAAATGTTTAAGCACAATGCCGCGCGCGCGGATTGTCCATAAAATCGCGCGGCCGACGTTGACGGAGGTAAGCGTGATATAACAGTTTAGGTGTGAAAATTCGCTAATGTCACGCATGGCATCGTTTTGCATGGTTTTATTGCACCCGTGGGCGCAAATCCCCCTGCGACTTTTATTCCAAGTTCCGGCTGCACGATAAAGTTGGCCTCACGCAATTCTTCAATAATTTTTTTGACTATTTTTGGTAGCACGCATGAATTTTATATGCACGTATTATATATATCTCATAATGTATGATTTAAAAATTGTAGAAATTATTAAATATTTTTAAAATAAATAGTAAAAAACTGTCGCCAGATGATTGTTATCCGACACATTTTTACTCTTCTTCAGTTATATAGATAAATAATTTTTGTTAACACTTCTAATAAAAAAAGAGAAGTTGAAATAAGGTAAAAATATAATTAAAATGAATTTACGAGATTGAACATCAGTTTTCGAAGCAATAGTTCATATAACGCATGACACAGATGACCACATAAATCATGTCCATCGCGAATAAACGTAAAAACGAAGATTGAAACCACTGATGCATGTATCGTAATTTCAATGAATTTAGATTTTGATACAAAATTAATTCCTCCATATTTATTGTACCCCGCATGTTTACCATTAATTTATTCAGTCCAATGCAAATGCGATATGAATATTTCGATTGTAATTAACAGCGTAATAAATATTCACGGAAATAATATTAGTTTCGTCCTCCGATGAGAAAGCCATAGTAATTTCTCTCTTTTATCATTGTAGGGATGAACCAGAACGCGAAGCGAAATTTGGATCAGATTGGCGGGGGACACCTCGTGAGAGATACCGACAAGCAATTCAAGGGTTTATTAAACGGAGAAGAGAGTCGCTTAGCTCAATATTTAAATTCTGCCAGTGACAAGCAAATACTCGACACAATCCGTCGAGGGGGACATTTTGCTGATCGATTTGGCAATGGAAATCTCATTAATTCTTCACTCAACTCCGTAGCGTACGCAGATATGATAAGTCATCCATACAGCTCCAATTTAAATGCCGGCCAAATAAACGACCAGTTATTTATGAATCAACTTATTGATCGCGATATTTCGAACAACGCGCTAGAGGGTGATAGACAAATCGTTAAAAATCTGGATAGGTTTGGCGGCGAGCATCTCGTAAGAAATCTAGATCAGATCGGTGGCGGGCATCTCGTGAGAAATCTAGATCAGATCGGTGGTGGACATTTAGTGAGAAATCTGGATCAGATCGGCGGCGGGAATTTAGTCAGAAATCTCGACCAGATTGGCGGAGGACATTTAGTGAGAAATCTGGATCAGATCGGCGGAGGGAATTTAGTGAGAAATCTAGACCAGATCGGTGGTGGACATTTAGTGAGAAATCTGGATCAGATCGGCGGCGGAAATCTGGTTAGAAACTTGGATCAGATCGGAGGCGGAAATCTTGTAAGAAACTTGGATCAGATTGGAGGCGGAAATCTTGTGCGAAACTTGGATCAGATCGGCGGTGGAAATCTCGTGAGAAGCTTGAATTGATGTTGCACCGATGCCTGATCATGGTGGATCAGTACAGAATAAGAAAAAAGATGTAGAACGGCTTATTAGAAGTGATTGTATTAAGGAGAAAGGCTTCTATATTGATTTTTAATTTTGCAACAGATGCAATTTTTTGTAATTATAATTATCTGATGTGTTGTGCATATTCTATGTAAGAAATCACAATCAAACAATTGTATTTAATAAACATGCAACTACGACACGCAGTTTTGATTTAATTAAAATTAAATCCATCGCATATGATAAATGGAAGAATTTAGCTGGAAAAAGAGCATATATGGAGAATACATAAATAATTAATATACATGTACAAAATTCTATATTTATTTATACACATCCGTTTTTTACCATTTAATTTTATCAAAAAAATTATTTTTCCCACATATATATATGACGCATTCCTATATATAATTTATAATAATTAATAATACGCAGGTTAACATGACTTATAAAGTTCACAATATCGTATAGTAGCAGATGTGTATAATTTAAATTAAAGTGAAAAGATTCAAATATTTTTTAATTTTTATATTTGTTAAAATTCTTTTTAAAATATGTTACTCGTAAATAAAAAAATGTATTCTCTTATTTAAAAAAAAACTTTTTAATTTTAAATATACTTGCGATACATTCTATCTACTAAATTAGATCATTTACTCGTCCGAAAATCATCATCCAATCATCTCACAGGACAGCGGTAATTCGAACCTTGCAATTATATTGCTTTTTTGTCATCGTGTTTTTTGTTCTATTAAGTGGAAAGGTAATAAAATTTTATCTGTAATAAAATATATTTGTTCTTTCCAAACCGACATTCGTTTTTTTTATCGTTTTGAATTTTCCATAATATTGTAATCTCCCATTAGAATTAATACATAGACATAGTGGAACTTTCTGAAATTTTCAAGGTATGGGCAACCGCAATATAAATGGTGTCGGCGGAGGCCATCTGTTGCGACAGGGACGTCGAGGGCTGGATTCGTTATCTGGAGCAACCTTTGGTGAGAGCAAGAGGTTTATACCTTTCAGGTAAATTGTTATCAATGCGCGTGTTTCGACCTGTGATAATAAAATATGAGCCTACTTAAGCGAAGAGCTCTCGTATATTCCATTAAGTAAATTTTTTATCGAAATATTCTCCATTAAGTATCGGAATATATCAAATAATTCACAGATTACATTAAACAGCAGATATAAATATTTATTGCTAGTTAGATCTACAACGCGCAATTTTATTATGACTTATTTAAAAGTTTATTAATAGGCTAATACATATATATCTTTTTAAATATGGTTTATATTAATTTCTTGATTTAGAAGTTAATCTTTTATTCTCTCTTTCTCACAAAAGCAATAATTAAAATATCCTATTATCCAGAAACTTAGTTTTAAAAATTGGTTCGACACCCACACGGATTGAGGGACCTGCTTGGCTAAGGTAATATTTTTCGCAATAAATTTTTTACACAGAGATTTTAAATAGAGAGAGAATGCTTATATATATAAACAACAAAATTACATCATTTTAGAAAGACTAAAACCTATCGAAATGTCTTGACGATTAATTTGACCAAAATCGATGATCGTATTGTCATGACGATTATAATGATAGTCAGTTAGGTCGATTAAAAAGGTTTACTGTTAATTAGGTTAATTTTAAAAACAGCCAAAGGGAGACAAAAAAATTGGCGCGATATAACCATCAGATAATATATTTTGTCCAGAAAATTGAGTTAATAATTCGGAAAGAAATTATTTAATCAGAAAATAATGTAAATTTGAATAAAATTTACGCAGTAATTTAATCAGTATTTTATTTTTAATTTAATTAGGTTTTATATTGCAAATATACATTTAGTGTGTTGATTAAATTTATACACTTCAATTAGTTTTAAAATATTGAATTGCGTATGCATATAAAACATTTTATTCGCTTTTAGAGACGTGCAATCTTTTTCGTGTATACTTAATGAAGTGAAGCACTTTCGAAATTACTTCTTGAGTTTGAATGGAAAATATTTCGATTCTTTTTTTCATTTTACTCGCGATGCAATTTCTCCATGCTCGAGATAATTCTCGTTATGATACAAAGAAAAAAAATCATTGCATTGCCAATTATTTGTTATACATATACAAAATATACATACAGCTCGTCGAGTTATTGTTTAATTCCCCACAGTCTCATCACTTTTATCCGTATTTTTCTATCTGTATATTGACGAGGTAAAATCACCACGTGCAGTTTATTCAACTGTCGCGCATACAAGAGGATTGATTTCCTTACCAAATTCAATATATTGCTTTTTTGATCGTGTTACCATTGGCAGCTCTACCATAAACACGACCTTGATTGTTGCCCTCCCACTCGACCTTTCACATATGTCAGACTCGACAAATATCCATAATAGATATACATATATAATACCCGGTATCACATGCGATCTTTTCTCACGGCTGATTACCGCCGTCAATATATCTCTTTTCTCGTTTATCTGACCATATCTAGATGCGATTACTTTTGTTGTATATTAGTAAAACTATTTACGAGCGACATTTTAGGAAAAGTAATAAATTTTGTAAAACCGAAAATGTTGAAAGATGAATACGAAAGGGAACAAAACAGAATAAAATGCCCCCGATATTTTGAACACTGTTATTCCACACAGTGATCCGATGAAGCGCATTTTCTGTGCGTCTATCATCTTCTTCGCTTCAACGCTACGGTTTTTTTTAATAAATGCCGGATGTTAGATATCGCTGCGGATATTGAGTTGCATTCATCGCTGAAAAAAAATAGAAAAAAAGGAAGTCATGTCTATTGCGATCGAACCTAGCTTCCTGCTAGTCTGACTATAAACATCCATATTCCCTTCATTGCGTATGACCAGTTTTATCGATAACCCCTTCTTTCCGACAATTTTTGTCTGGAAGCATTTATATTGTATTTATTGTAGTATTATTTACTAGTACAACATATTAACATGCCTTCAAAGAAAGAAAACGCCGTAATCGGTCAGGACTGGATCTTGTTTGTCCGAATAATATATTAATTCTTGAGTGACTTTTTTACGTACAATTCTTATGCTCTGGCAGACCACGCGCCGTTACTTTCGGACATAACGCAGTCTCAACCAAAGCCAGAACGATACAATCACAAGAAGAATTGTACGTAAAAAAGTCACTCAATAATTAATATATTATTCGGACAAGCAAGATCCGATCCTGACCGATTACGGCGTTTTCTCCCTTTGATTGTATATCTTACACGGTCGTATAATCTCGTACTTATTAACATACTTTCTTATAAAAACAATCAATTTTATGTTTAATAACACCATAGTTTAAAGAAACTATAAAAAAACTGATATTTTTCTAATTTGAAAAGTAAATTTAAATGCGAAGAATATATATAAAATTCCATTTAAATTCTATATTTTTCCTTCGGTTGTTCAATATATACCTATCTCCGAGATATTATTGCGTTTTTAAAATAAATTCCATTTATTATTTTACATAACATTCCATTTTGAAGTAAAACAACCGAGAACGTGGTTCTCTTACAGATTCGTTACAGTGTGTCCATTATATTGCAGGCGGCTCAGTGTGATGAACGTACATCCTGGCAATTTTGACGAGATTGACCGATCGGGGTTTGATCGCTTCTCAAAGAGGAACATCGACGAGATTGATACCGCGTTCGACAGCTTCTTCAAGCGAAACTTCGATGAGATCGATCGAGGTAGTTGGAGCGGATTCGTCAAGAGGCTCAATAATTATCTGGCGGACAGGCAGCGACGTTAATCGGCGCAGGACAGGTGGAGAGGATAGCGAGATGAAGGGCACAGAAAGGGCGAAGGGCAAAGAGAAGGGCAGCGAGAAACATCGGAACGAATTGTACACACACTCACTCTATTAAAAGAAAAAAAAGACTCGTTTAATTTACGTGAAATTTAGAAAAAAAATATTCGACGCAAATTAAAATCAATCCCTTTGCCATTGCTGTTTTCTAATGGCTGCGAATTTAAAACCGGATATATTACATCGAAACTTATTACATGGCAAAACGCAAAATGTGATGAGATTATTTTTCGAACAAAATCGAGAGGCATTTTTTTGGATGATAACATTGCTTGACATAATTTTTTCTCTTCTAGATCGATATGCTGAAAACCACTAAATGTACTTTCAAATCCAAATTCTAGAGGATAAACTAAGAAAAGTGATAGTGGGTCTCACTTTCGAGATATTGATATAATTATGCAAATATTTGATATTAATAACTTATAAAATTTTGATGAATTATAAATTCCAGAGATGGAAATGGATAAACTATATCGCACGATTCAATTAAATTTAAAGTAGGTTTCTTTTTATAGAAATTATTTTTAGCTGTAATATATTCTTAAAGTATTTAATAGCAAAAGTTAAATACTTGCAACCAATAAAGGCCTATTTAAAAACTTTTGTACAATAAAAATAGAATCGGTGGCTATGGCAAAACATTCGTTAGTTCATCCTCTATGAATTAAGCAAAAGAAAAAATATATACAAAGAGATTATTTTACTCAATTGAATCCACGAAAGAATCTGCATGAGAGCAAATTATCATTTATCTTGAAAAATAGTTCTTAAGTGAAAGTAATTGGATTTATTTCAAAGAAGCTCTTACTCTCGCTATATCTTCAACGACTTTTTCGAAACACGCTGCATCGTAAAAATGATATTAACTTACATCTAAATATGAACGGCGTGTATATATCGTTAATGTGTAATTAATTGTATATATTAACTCAGCTCAGTGTGTGAATCTCAGAATTATATACATATATGGTGAATACAAAATCGAATACTCAACGCGATTAAATCTTAGGAAAGCGGCAGGAGATACAAACATTATGGTGTGTCGTTCCTCTTTAAAAAAAAAGGAAACTCGTTTGAAAGAGTTTCTATTGAAAAATACTAAAAATACTCGAATATCTTTATGTCCAAAGGCATGACCTGGCAAAGAAATTTCTTCTCTCTTTGTAATTTAGAAATGATTTAAAACTATTTCGTCGCTTTGACGAAATTTAACCGATTGGAGATCGGATAAAATATATCACGTGGTTTGTCCTCTTTACTCGTATGCAAATTCTGTCATTCTGCAAAAGTGTACTATCTAAAAAAAACGATAATAAATTTCTGGCTAATTAGAGAGATAACATAGAAAGGTTACAAATGTCACACAAGTATGAAAATGTTAAAAAGTACCATTTCTTTAAGTGACAATACTTAAAAAAAAAATAAAGAATATAATCTTTTTTTATTGTTAGATATAATTTTTTATATCACAAATAATACTTATATATTTGTAGTATTATATATTTTACTTTAATAAACAATTATTTCCTGAGGATATAACATTTGCAACCTTTTTATATCGTCTTCAATCATTATTACTTCATATCATATTCCTACACTCTCTATACATTTACATGCATGTACAAATTTTGAAATATTTAAAAGAATTAATTTTTTTATATAATTGCAATATTCTTTACTATACATATATTTTTGTTATATAGAAATACGTGTTCAAACACAGAAAATATTGTATCCATTTATCTTGTTCTACAGTCACAATTTTTCCTGCGTTTTTACAAAAAAAGATAATTATCAAAAGAAGGGACTGAAAGAAATACAAAAACAAATTTGTCCGACGGTCATCTTAAGTCTCGCACTTCCAGGATGGTCGAAAGCCAATGGGTTTTGCATCAGTCGCCGGTCTCAGATCGTTCAACAGCTGGACTTCCGGATATGCGGGCGTACGGGGTCTTTCTTGTCTCTCAAGCGTCGTTACATTTGATAGATTGGTATCGTATGACTGCGACGTAAGGAATCTCGAATTTGCGACGGAATTATGCGGCTGAGGATCTTTCACTGCCGCCGAAGCGTTTGTCGATATTCGCAATTTCCTCGGCGTTCGCGGACGGTCTGACTGCTGCTGCTGCGGCTGCGATTGCCTTTTTCTTGCCGCCGCGAGGATGCATTTAACTTCCTCGTTGATGTCAGCCGGTGTCTCAATCTGCACGCTCTTTGTATTGTGATTCATTCTTACTAGCTGTAAAGAAAGCAAGGCTTTTAATTATATCTCACAAGCAAATTTAAGTATATGGTTTTCTCAAGTAGATAAAGAATCTTTTTATTAATGTCTTGCTTCGAAGACCTTGATATAATAAAAATCAACGCATTTAATGGCAATATGTTTCACACATTATATTTGAGTTAAATTATAATAATAGGAAAATTTTCTTTTATTCTTTTTAAAGAAATATTTGAATTTGCCTAATAATACACTGAATTACATATTCCATTTGATAATATTATAATATGTTTATATAACATGCGGCATTTGGAGTGCATCTCTCTCTATTTTGTATTATTTTATCATGGGATACTGAATTATTTCAAGTTTATTCAATTATATTAAAGTTTTCTTTATTTTTTAAATTAAATTTAAACGCTTAGTCATTTATTACTTTATTATTTAGACATTTGTACCTCGATCAATCCTTCCTCCAATTCGGAATAACGTTGCAGCAATAGACCTACTTTCGAACTAAGCTTCGTTAAGTGGTCGGTAATGAACAGTTCTTTGGCAATGTCCTCCTTCATCTGTACAAGTATATAATTTTATTAAAAATAACTTAAAATTAAAAGCGTCATACCGTTCTTTTACTGTGAAAGTAATTTAATTAAAGTACTTGATCCATTCCTTTGGATACCTTCGAGCTGATATAATTGAGGCTTGCCCGTGACTCGGAAATCTATTGAGTAGCAATATATTACTTAAATTATATTACTGATCGTAATTCCATACAAAATAAAGATTTTAAGTAATTGTATGAAGTGCGTAAATTTAAGAAAACTTAATGTATGTTTGCTTTTGCATAAAATATACGCTTACAATTGAATTAAATCTTTCAGATTCGGCCATAATCTGATAATGTGCTCTCATCACTCGGAAGAACTGAAATGTTAAAACATTATGTATATGCGTAACCGAATATTTCCTAAGTAAACTGTTATATAAATATATATGCTATTTGTCTTCGATATTTGCACATAATGGCTATTGCTTTTTAATAAAAAGACGAGTATAACATTCTCATGTATACAATACATAAAAATAGTTGTAACTCACACGTTGACACATATACAACACAATAGTCGCATTTATCATCGCAAAGATTACGCTAGTAAAGAAGCGATATACCAGATACATGATTATCTTTGCGAATATCCTAAACAAGCAATTTCGGGCAAACATTCAACACATAAATATTATAATCGTATTTTGACAAAGTCAAGAGAAATTGCGGATTAAAAAATTTTTTCTCTCCATATAATAACCTAATAACCAAAAATTCTAGATTCAACTGAAGTTTGACGAAGATAATCAAGAGCGAGTTGTTGAGATAATTAATCACGTATTGTATATATTTATAAATAATGTCGGTAACAAAAAAATTTTCGGAAATATTAAAAAAGAATTGACATAAATATAACATGGTCAATTTTGTCACCAATCCGTTATTGAATTATGTTCGACATTCTATTTTTACTGATTGTGTGAATAAGAAATCTATATTTTTTAGGGTGATTTCGATTAAAATCTCGATTGAAATCGGCGACTCATATAATATTTATCAAGTAATTTGCAATATTTCTTTCTTGAATTCTGCTTGAAAAAGTTAATATGCACTAGAAAACGATTTATATTATAAATAAAACTTTAATTTTCTGCATTATGTATGTTTGCAACAATGCATACAGTAAAAATACTTTTGATGGAAAAGTTCAAATATTTGAGACAAAAACGTGTAATTTTTTATTACGCAACTGTAAGTATGTTTATCACTTTGTCACGATACGATACAATAATATCTTTTTTAACATATTGCATAGTTAGCATAATAATACTTATGCTAACACTTATGTGAAACATTGATGTTTACAATTAGAAAAGAAACGTCCAATATAAGCAAGAGCAGCAAATGAGACATTTCAAAACAAAAAATAAAAAAATAAAAAACTTTTAATAATATTTTAATATTAATAAAATTTTTACAAAATATGTTTATAATCGTATATTGTTTATTTTGACTATTTTATTTAGAATTTAATCTGCAATTCGAGGGGTTTTTCTACTCCAATTTTCTTATACAATCATTAAAATATCAGTAGGTATAATATTTTGCTACGTACCCAAAAGCTTTATTGTAAATGATTATTGCATTGATTAATTTGTATAATATATTTTATGTTTTTCCAAGACAGAGACTTGCATTTTTCAATTGAATGCATCTCTTATATTCATATATAAGCTACAACACAGTAAATTTAGTACGCATGTTAACCCTAGCTCGCCACACTCCGGTCGAATAAACGGCTGAAAGTTTTTCGATTTTCTAGTTTTTATATTTAAATACCTATAGCCGTTTGGAATCGGCGTTAAACTGTAGGTCCCATATACAATGTGTATAATCTACGTGCGCAACACATTCGGAAACGAGTAATAGAATGAGGAGGAGAGTTTTCATATAATAACATAATTTATTTTCTAGTTCCTCATAATAAGCCCAGTTTAAATTCAAATCATTTTGTTAACTTGATTATCATAAACACCTTATTCAAAGTTTATATTACCGATTTCTACAGTACAAGCTTAAAAATATTAATTAAAATGAAAATAACAGTGTGACAAAGTCGAGCGGTTTCACGGACCGGTGGATAAGCGCGAAAACGCGAGACTTTCGCCGGTACTTTCTCGTAATCAAAAATCGTCACGCGCTAGTATATAAAAGGCGAGCTGAGCTCAAGCAACTTATTACTTTCTTTCTGTCAACATTTACAAGAACTTTATTTGTTCAAACTAATCTTACAACTGATCGCAATTTGGAATCACTATCAAAATTAAAAAACTTTTGAAACTATATTACACAATTAAGGTTCATATTCATGAACAAGGATAGTAATACTTATAGTTTCAAGCTTTTTAAATTTGCTAATAAGTAGGGAGGTAATAGGTACTCTTGCCC